GAAGATTGAATAAGATTCCGAAGATCGTCGAAGATTGCAATTATAATATTTACTTTCCTTAATAGTTGATTGTGTAATATTTCCCTTTATGTTTATTTCCTTTTACAGTTATTTGTAACCCTAAAAATAGGGTCTTCTACATTGTAATATTAAGAAGTCAATATAATACAATTTATATTTCTTACATTTATATTTTTTCAGCATCTCTAAGAATGCCATGTAATCTAATCCTATCAGTTCAGTCAGCAAATAACCCTCCAGCCAAAAATCATTTTAACCAGTTGACTACCTCCCGGCTCAAATAAATCTACTGACTAAGCCATCGAAAGAAATCAACCGCTAGTATTGGATGTCAAAACATAACTCCTAAAGCAAAAGAGCAGCAGCTCCGAAGCCTATTCTATTTGATTATGGATAGATATAGAACTCGGGCCCGTACATTTTCTTCCCTCTTTTTGTTCTCCAGGGAAGATCTAAATCACCATTTTCATTACCTATGCTTAATTTTCCCCAGCGACCAACATCTTATCTCATCGGTCTCCTCCCTATGTTTCTCTTAATTTTTTTTTTATGTATCGTAGTATTGTATTTCTCCATGTTGCATGACTTCACATCCTCATGACCCAACATGCCTCTTCAAAGACCAAATACGTTAATTTCTTTTATTACTTCCGAGAAACGAAAGTGAACTTTATTGCAGAGTGCATGCTACGAACAAGAATTGATGAAGGTGAGGAATGAGTTCTTGTGGCCTGTTACAGGGGTAAAGCTAACTATAGGAAAGTTCAAACGACACACTTGTATATACTTAAGCTTCATCGACAATGTCATCTACTTCAGTCAGACAATTGGAGCTGTTGAACTGTTTGAGCTAGGAGGCGGATGAGATATCAGTTACAATGACGGGTATAGTTTTCAAACCATTTAGTCGACTTCCAAAATAGAAATACATATTACCTAAGAATGTCTCTATATATGCTGGAACCTACAAAGATATCATTCACTAGAGATTATCTGCATTCTTTTATATTATTGATTGAAAAGTACGTTGCTTTTCAGACAAGCAAACTGACGTTAAGTGTTTTCAACATAAAAATAATAGAAACTCGGTGTTCGGGAAATTCTATTGTGAACATAAGGTAAATTGACTAATATAACTCAACTAAAGTAAATATCAACTTTCCTCCGAAACGACCTTTTAGTTGTTAAACAACATCCCTCACCAATTATGAGTGCTTAAAACAATATAGAGAGATCAAAAACCTTTTCTTTGCTTCCTGCACTTCCAACAACATAGCATCCCAACAACTTTGCAAATTGCCCAACAAGTTGACCAACAGCTCCAGATGCAGCAGAAACAAAGACAGTTTCTCCATTTTTGGGCGAGCATACCTCGTAGAAACCAAAATAAGCAGTTGTGCCAGCCATTCCTGCAAAGAAACAGAACATATATTAGTGAAATAGACAAAAAAATGGCCTGATATAAAAATCGATAACGAAATTAACACTTGAAACATTCCACGGGATAAACGATATTTAATTTCACAACCTCAAAACTATACTTTTAATCATTCACAGAAAAATGATTCAACAATGAATATCCAAGTATCAGAGTGCGATGAAATTGTACCTTGACTGTATATAAATAAGACATCCAGAAAATATATCTGTACTTAAAAGATTTTGTTGTTATCATTTCGACTATAGCACGATAATCCTGGTAACACTAACTTCATGTATAAAGCTGAAAAAAAAAAAGTAAATCCTAAAATGGAAAAGCTTCGACATTCATTCCTTTTTTTTCTTCCCTCTCTTTTGGTGTAAGCGTTTCACATTCATAAATCATTCACAGAAACATGATATCATTTATTCTCCATTTGGTGAAATCAAATCCAAAGTAAATTTAAAGCTGAGATGTCTAAATCAATATATAATCGTGCAGAGTTCTGAACTTAGTATTCTTTGAAGCTCTTAATTGCAACAGAGACAGCCTGCATTACTTTGCTTTTGCACCAAGAAGCTGAGACGTTCTATTCAAGTTGATTAAGAATAACAAAAATTCATCGTATTTAGCCCAATAAGAAAACTTATATCAATGGCTGGGTGTTGTCTTAATCTTTGATATTTTACTCACCATACAGCGTCATTCAAACTTGGCCTTAAAAAATCCTATATCTTTCTTCCTCACTCCCTCTCTTCCTAGGCTTTAATTCGATACAAAAGATTCATAAAAAATGGGGATAGATATAGGTATAGGTAATGACCTGGCCCTAGGACTACTATAACTCACATGATATAGACCACGAAAAATATGAAGGTGTAGATTTAGTATATTTTTCCAAGGAGGTGCTCTCCTGAATTTTTACCGTGCGAACACATCAATGAACTCCTTAAATCAGATATATTAAATATAAAAATTTTATTCACTTGTTCAATTATTAAAGTAAGATACAAATGCGCGGGTATTACCCAAGAGCAACACTGGTATACCAAAATCCAAAAATCACAATGAATTGTCGAACTACCTCATCTATTAATATCCCCAAACAATATATGTAATGCCCTAAAATTTTGTGGTATAGGAAATAGGTCATATATGCGACTTTAAGATTTTTTTTTGGAGTCTATTAGAAACTTTTGCAGTTTTACTAGGAACCTAAGTGAAAAAAAAATGCAAAACTATCCCATTATCGAAGAAAATATTACTTATAGTGTAAATATCACTATTTGTGAAAAGTCAAGTTGGGGAAAATTTAGCAATTTCTAGAAAGTTTAAGGACTAAATTGCAAATAGTGAGAAACATATTCAAGAAGAGAAGGTGACGAATTAACCCTTTTGAGATGTAAACTGACTATACTGATCAAAACAAGTTTTGGAGTCAATTATTTATTTGGGATAAATATTTAATTATTGAAAATGTGAGAATTTGTATGTCACTATTTTGCTCAAATAGCTTGCATTAAATTACATGAAGGTGGCTAAAATAAAGTCCATTTGCTTATTTGGACCCCAAGATCGAGTAATCTAAGGCAATCTAGGCCAACTACTAATTAAAGAAGGATTAGCATATGTGAAAAAGAATTTGGCCCTTCCAGGTGATAAATCAATTTCATATGTTAGTTTGATCAAAGTAGGATTTGGGGCTTGAACCCTAATTTAATTAGGTTAAGAGATTGTTTACTCCTAAATTGATTTAGTTCTACAAAACCAATCCTAGTTATTTAACCAAATGATACCCAATACTAACACAAAATTTGAAATTTTAGAGGAAGCTGAAACAAAATAGATCCCTAATCTAAATTGTCAAATCTATCATGCATGGTAGTCTTACAAGGAGACTTTTTTCCATTTTTTAATGGTACTCGTACCAAAATTTCTTATTCAATGCATTAAGGAGCATAACCTCGCTACATAAGGACTTGATTGACCGGCCTTTCCCAATCAATCATTCTCAGCCATCCCATTATGGAGTGAGGCAAAAGTTACAAAATTTAGAGAAAAAGAAAAGATCCGAGTGAAAAAGATAAATGGAGAAAGGAAAAAGAAAAGAAAAGGAGCTCGTGCATTCTAGTTCAATCCTAGTTTTCTTTTAAGGCTTTCAGGAATCTTCCAAATCTAGCAAGATCTGAATTTTATTCTTAAAAAGCAATGATTTTAAAGCATAGGCGAGATACTTAATATGCAAAGTTGTTATCCCTTTCGTTTATGATAGTTTTTATAATGAACTCACGAGTATAAATAGTTCTTTGGAGTAAGACTATTGAAGAGATCTTTCGGGATAAACCATGAAAAGGTCCTTCGGGACACAGAGAAACTTAACCTTTGGGTTATGATACATGCAGCGCTTGCATTGAGACGTTAACTTCATGGTTAGACATCTCTAAGAAAGGAAAAAATGGTATGAGTATTGTACTTATAAGTATTATCTTGGGAACATGTAGATTGCACACATCTCACTGTGTATTTTCGTAATACTACTCATCCCTCTCATATTCGCAAATTTCAGGTTAATAACGTTTTGGATGGATAGTGGATGGAGTGGTGGTGTCAGTGGATCAAGGATTAGAGGTGTAAGCGGTATGGTTTGACGGATATTTAACATTTTCAACCAATCGTTGTAAACAATTTAAGAAAAATCCGAACCTAAACCAGTTGAAATTTTGTCAGATATAAACCTAACGATTTGGTCCTGTTTCAAACGGTGGTTTGACATTATATTTTTCTTCCATTCACTAGTTCAATGATTATACAATATTTTCTTACTTTGTTATAAAGCCCGTTTGATCCTCATTTTTGGGGTAAAATGTATTATGAAATAATATTTTTTGGAGAATGTGTGGTTAAAAAATAATGAATTTTTTTTAAAATACGTGTACAATTATTTTATGGTTAAAAATGAGTTTTGAAAAAGTGTATTATGAAAAAAATATGGCTCCAACATGGGCAAAATATGAAATTAAATATCAACAAATCGAAGAAAAACCTCGACAATGAGTTTATGAAATTAGGATACTAATGAATTATTATTGTTATGTGGTAATGGACAACTGATTATATTAGGGCATCTCCAATAGACTTTCTAAGTACAAAACACTTTTTATTTTAAAGAGCTAATACTTAAAAATAAGCTCTAAGAGCCCATCTATTTTAACTTTTTAAAATATAGAATGAGTTTAGCTCTCCAAATTTAGACAGCCAAACTCGCTTTCTATTATTAATGTACAATGATTGTATTTAATAAATCACGTGGAGAGCCAAATTCACTTTCTATTGTTAATGTACAATGATTACATTTAATAAATCACGTATTTCAATACTCTATTTCTTAAACCATTAAAAACACATTTAATCATAGTTATCAAACTCGACCCGAACAATATAGCCGGTCAATAGGTTAATGGTTCAACCGGCGACCCGGTGTTTCAACCGGCGGGTCATTGTATAAAAACCTACAAAAAAATATAAAGTATAAATTTTTTTAGGGGCAAAATTAAAAATTTTAATTTATTTTCACTAATTATTTAAGTCTATAAAATAAAGTAAAAGCTTGGACCTAAGTTTTTTTAAAAAATATTTTTATAAAAGTTATAAATGATTCATTAGATAGATATAAGTTATTGCACACAAGAAATACTAAAGCACTTTATGTTCAAATGGTGAGGACCAAAAAATTTTGTAAGAGAATTTTAAAACTCAATCAAACCGGTTAATCGGGCCGGGTAAATTGTCGGTTAACTCTGTCAAAGCCCGATTTTGACCGAGTCAAGTACATTTCTATCAAATTAAACTACCCTACCCTGTCAAGGGTCCGGGCCGCCGATTTTCCGATACGATCAGTCGGGCTGGGCCAGGTTTTATAACTATGCATTTAATGGATTGGCCATTGACATGTAGTGAGTGTTTGACACCCATTTTAATAGGTTGACAATTTTTGGAATAGTGATTGATGGGAGAATGTGTGGTTGAAAAGTGATGAAAATTTTTAAATTTGTGTGTAATATTATTTTATTTGGAAAATGTGTGGTTGAAATGAAGAAAGAAAAAAATGAGAAAGAAAATGGGTGCCTAATTTTGTTTTTTAAAATAAACACGAGGAGAAATCAATAAATGTTTCTTAAGAGAAATCTAGAGTGCATAAAAATTTTGACTCTCTAAATTTAAATATGCTTTTTATAAATAAAGAATATCTTGGAGATGCTCTTACCCATTTTTGCAATAAAATTTTAATAGTTAAATATTATCTTAGAGGTTAGCATTGTAATTTTTTTTATTATTTAATTTCTAGCAAAAACTTAATTTATTTTTTTATTTTGAAACGGTCTGGTTGGACCTATCAAGGATCAATGAGTGAAAAGTTTTAAAGTATGAGTACAATTAATGCTAGTTATAATTTCCTAGTTTGCATGTTAGTAAATTCTGGATTTTGAGTATTTCATTGCCAGATTAAAATATTTTAGAACCTACATTAATGTTTATTAGTTAGATTTACGGTTTTAGTACAATATATGCTTGCGTATTGCACACTTTGGTTCTTGATTGAGATGTAAACTTGAACACTATCCAATTTTCCAGCTTCTGGCTTTGCTTTGAACGGTCGTCCTGAAGTGTGCACTTCGAGTTTTTGGATTAAATCAGTTGGGACGGAAATCCTGACGGATTTTCTATCCACGAGATTTAGAATCACATTAAATAGACGACTGACGAATTAGAGATGGTCGTTCTTGTGAACTGTGACTGTGTTACACATGAAACTGTTTGCATGTGTCTTTGTTAATCAATTCGACCAACTAAACGGATGAGATAAGTTATGAATTTTGGTTATGCTACGCGTTGACGAGTTATTAGTTTACTGTATAATTTTCTATGAACGTTTGATGTGTTAAATAATTTTTGGCGACACAAACTGGGAAGACTAAAATTTGCATGCTTAACTTAAGTTTGAGGCATCGGACACTAGAAAGAATCGAAAAATAGTAACGTATAGGGTTGCAAAACTCGAGGCATTACAGCACATATTGACAGTATCTCTATATGCTACTCTAAGCCTATGTTTGACAATCATTATTTAAAAACCCTTTTTTCTATGTACTCATTTTCAACCACACATTCACAAAATAAAATAATTTGCACGTAAATCCAAATTTCTTTTCTATTTTTGAACCACACGTTCTCCTAAAAATCACATATCAAAACCTTGTTTTTCCCAAATAATGGTTATCAAACAGGGGCTAAAACACACCAAAGCTCAAATTGTCAGGAAAATGTATCTCTATTTAGTGCTGATAGAGTTCTCAACAGAGTAACTTACCAAGTATTCCTGCATAGTAGGAGAGAGGCACATCTGTATGCTGAATTTTAAAGAAAGTCTCTGGAGATTTAATAAGGCTATACTCCTCCCAGCCAGTTATTCCCCAAACTAGGTCACCCTTGTTCAAATTGGGATGTGTAGAGTCGACTACTTTGGCGACTCCATATCCTGATATAGGCTATGAGCAACATAATTGGAGAAGGTTAACCCCAGTAAAAAGGTTACAATTCAGATGAGGGACACAATTTTGATTTTTAGTGCGGTGACTAAATGCTAATCCAATAACCCTTTCAGAACTTGCATACTGTACTGTTGTAAATTATCTTGAAATCATTGGCACAGAAAGGAAATGGATAAATCTCTAATAAAATTATGACTGACATGGGTTATTCTCCATTTCTCAAATTACTGTACTTCATTTTGGACCCCTTTTTTGACATTCTACTTCAACTACAACTAGTTTGGATGTCCGTATTTGTTCCCTATATACAGTCAGATCTTCATTATGATTTAGTAAGAAGTAAGAAACATTGTAAACACAAATCTTTGTTTTTTATTCCTCCATATTATAATAAAATTTCCATTCTCTACAAATTATATTCTTCTCTTATTTTCTTCAACAAAGTGATATTGGACATTATCTTGAAATCTTGGCACAGAAAGGAAATGGCTTACTCTCTAAAAAAATTATGACTGACATGGATTATTATCCATTTCTCAAATTACCTAATTACACCAGCATCCAAAAATCCCAAATTCTTCAACCAAGTCATTATTTACAGTTAGAAATGACTTACGTAGCCAGGAGTAAATGAGTCAACATAGCTGTCCACCAATTTGCTCATCCGATTTCGCATATAAGGGTCGCAGGACAAATACAGATTCTTCACCAAGATTGAATTGGGAGAATCTTCTGGAACCTTGAGTTTGATAGTGGTGCTCTTCAATACCATGTCAGATTCTTTGACGAAACCATTAACGTAGTCTTTCAATATAATTTGCTTATTGCTCACTTCCTCTCCCATTTCTGCTTGTGTGTAGAGAGAATATGCGTGTTGCACGAAATGTACAGTGTAAATGGGCGGTGGGGTTCTATTCGGTGGCTCTCTTCTCGCAGGCTCGCTCTCACATTTATAGTTTTGACACCATTAACGGATAGCAACCACAAAATTTGATTTTTTTTGGTTAAATTTCATCGGCAGTCACTGAATTTTCAGAATATTTTAATTGAGTCACTAAACTTTATTTTGTCTCAATAAAACTATTGAATTTTAATTTAATTTCAATTGATTCACTGAATTTCATCAATATGTCACCTGTAGGATTCCAAATTGATTAACATGGCTTAATTAGTAGTATCTTTCAACTTACCACCAAAAGACATTACTATACGGACTCGACAAAAATCCATCAAATTGCAAATCATTATGTATCCGTTGATTCGAGTCCACGTAGATCAGCCGTTGTTATCAAACCTATTGATCTACGGATTATTTAGTATTTACCAAAGTATTCAATTCCCACTTCCCGTACTAAAAGTATTTAATTAAGACTTTTAAATACTTTTAAAGATATACAAAATTTAGGAGTATTCAATGTTGATTTTTTTTTTTTTAAGATTCTAAAATTATTTGTGAAGTCTTTAGTTATGGGTATTCAATGTTGATTTTTTAAAATTCTCTAAAAATATTGGTGTATTTAATAGAGAATTTTATGGACCTTTTAATTAAAATATTTTAGAAGTCTTTATAAATTAAGGGGTATTCAAAATGACAATAACTTTTAAAGATTTTTTATAAAAGTACTTTTAAATATAAGTATAAAAATAAAATCTCATTTTTTTTTCTCTCATTACCTTAAGATTTTGGAAGATTTTCACAAAAAAAAAAAATGTTAATATGTAATTTTTGTCATTTCAATATTTCTCTTTTACGAACTTTAGAGCAATGATTAAAAATTATTGTTTTTCTTCTACCGATCATATTTGTTCTCTTTGTATTCCATTTTCTACAAAAAAAGATTAATCCATTGGTTGAACCGGTGGATCATTGCATAAAAATTTATATGTAAAAAAAATTAAAGTGCAAAATTATATTTTTTAAAGTTATTTTTCACTAATTATTTAGGTCTACTAAATAATGTAAAAGGTTGAACCAAAGTTTTTTATAAAAATACTTTTAGAAATACATAATTTATTATATTCATATAAGTTATTGCACATAAAATATACTAAAATATTGCACTATTGCAATGGTGAGTAATTACTTGTTTTACTTTAGAGGTCCAAGATTCAATTCCTTGGACCCCCAAATTTTTATAAGGCAATTTTGAAAACCGGTAAATCGGGCCGACAATTTTAATATTAAATCGCCTATTAACTCAGTCGGCTTTGATCAAGTCATCTGCATTCCTATTAAATTAATCTACCCAGTTTGGGCAAAGACCCGGGTCACCGATTTTTCGACTCAATCGACCAGTACTGGCCGGGTTTTATAATTATGGAATACAACCCCTAAGACTAACACATTATCCTAACTCATGCCAATCGCTGGTCGCTACTGTGTAATCTTTGCTCAATGCTATTTGTTAGTGTGTGTGCGCGCGCGGGCAATGCATTTTATGGATTGCAATCTATATGACATTTAAATACTCAGTCGACTTGGTTGAAGAATTTGGGATAGGTTCATCTATATTCCAATATTTGTGCATACGTGTTATTTAAAATAAGAAAATACAGTGGAAGATAAAGCATTTAATAACTACTTGTATATAAAAAAGGATATTATATAAGAAAAAGGAAATTATATATGTAATCTGGATCTAAGTTTAAAAGGAACTACTTATATATAAATGAAATTATATTTTAAAAATCGCTTGTCTAATTGAGCAATCTGAAAATAATTATATAATTTATTATAAGAATTATAATAAATAAACAGTTCATATAAACTTTATGAACTAATATAAAGTAATGAAGCATTTCTCTTCAATTGTAGACAAAAAATAAACGTGGGAGCAGTATCCTCTCTCACAAAAAAACGTGCACAATTTGACAAAGCAAACCTGCATTTCTCTATTCCACCCCTCTTTCATTTTACACGTTTTCCAATTCAAGTAAAATGTCAACAGTATCCAAATTGAAAAGAAGGGAGAAGGGCAAAAGTGTAATTGCGCATAACTTTTCTCAGACCAAAAGACAACAATTACTGTAGCGGGGCCCATGTTATGTGACAGTAAAATGCATTATTGGTGGAAAAAATGTGGATCAAATGGAGTTTTCAATACTTATTTTCTGGAAAATAAGTTTTTTCCCTCATAAATTAAACCATTCATAAATTCTTCCCAAACAGCAGCCATCAACTCATATCTCTAACTAGAATCAATGTCCTATCAATTTGTAGAAGAGTCGATAATATGACATTGTTGAGAGATGTCTCAAAGATCGTCGAAAGTGGAAGGGATGGCAACGGAACGGGACGGGACGGGACGGACATGGGTTATTCTCCATTTCTCAAATTACAGGGCGGGGTCTTTGCCTCGTTTACTATCTGTTAAAATTTTTTTTTTTGATAATTTATTTTTATTCCACATATTCGTTAGATTTAAACAAATAATTTTAGTTGTTATTTTCTGTTAGAACTAATGGAATTTTTTGAAATTTTTCATTTAAAGTATTGAATTCTAAAAAAAAATTAACGAGGCGGGGCGTCCTTTATCCGCTCCGAACAAAATTCCCCACCCCGATACCCGATTAAGGGGGTTATCCCCGCCCCGTTCGGGGTTGGGGTCCGCGAGTATCAGATTTGTAGTATTTTTTTGTCATCCCTGATGTCTTTGCCACCCATTGGACTAACTAAAACGAACATCTTTAAAAAAAAAATTAAAAAATAAGGCTTTGAATATCTTTACACTTCACTTGGTATCATAAACTTATCATGAAAACCACCCTTTCATTTATACTACTGGATAACATGAAAGTTAACTATCTCAATATATCGTGCACTATACATTTCAATTAAAAGAAAATACAACTGAATATATGGGTGTTAAGTGGGGTGAGCTGCTAGCCGACTTGCACAAGCTGTTGGGCGAGCTAGGATCGTGTGCTAGATGGCTCGATAAATTAAGAGAAATATACAATTTTCGGTGGAAAAAATGGAGACAATCGATCAACGTTGTTGTTAAGCAAGCCGGCTGGCCCCATCTCACAACCTTAATTGAATGCATACATGGGCAGAAGAATCGTTAATAACTGTGTCTAAATTTGAATTGTTGGGTTGAAAAATGATAAAGAAAATCATCATTTTTGTATGGTTATGTAATCAAATTGATAAAAAAAAAATACTAAAAAGTGATAAAACATCGTGAATAAAAATTGGACAATTGTTTCTATATGAATAATATTGATATAGACATGGACGTGCAAAATGTAATTGTGCAATGACCAGATGGACTGTAAAGATAAATGTAGACTTCTTGTATTTCTTTAGAGGGGTAGTGTGATTAGTTTAAAAAATATATGTATTTTTTTTTAATTTTTTTACTTTAATTTCATATAATAATAATTAAAAAATGGAAATCATGAATATTTAAAATTTTAACCATTTTTTTATTAAATTTTGTGATATTATTTGTGTGTGATTTTATATGCATAATGTTGCTGCTTGAATCAATTGCATGTTTATTCCCTTCTTGACATTTTAAAATTCTTCAATTTATATTGCTTTTTTTTTTTTTTGTAAATATTTAAATTTATGCTCTTCAATTTTACTCTACCACACGGTTAGTATGAAATTCGTTTGTCACCATGTCATTTTTTTTTTAATTTATTTGCTAATTACGGTTGATAATAGTTTACATTTAAATGGAATTATTAAAAAAAAAAAACCTCTCTAAAAATCGATCCAGAAGATTCAACTACGGCTGGACATGGTTCGGTTCTCTTGAGACCCGAACCGAACCAAAATTTTCGAGTATTCAATAAATGGAACCGTCGGGTCCAAATATAATTATGGAATCATTCGGGTTCGGTTCAGTTCGATTCGGTTCGGTTCCGTACCATAATTAAATTTTTTAACAGATTTCTAATAGTCGACGATCGGTGATCGTGGTTGGAGGTCGCGGCTTCGATGGACATTGGAAAGGGGAAGTCAGACTCGGTAGTTGGCTATTTCGATTCGGGCATGTAAATGTAGATTTTCAATTTATCAAATGATTTGGGGTCAATGACTCAGTGGTTACCGCATGAAAGTGGATATTGGGGAGAGAATGATAAAAATTAAAAAAAAAAAAAACCTAGATATTATGCTAAGAATGAAATTAACAATAGGATCAAAAAATTAAATCAAAAAATTGAATTTAGAAATTGAGTTGGGTTGGGTTAGCTAGGCATGGACTTAGTTTGAGAGTTAGAACATTAATCACTAAGCCCCCGTTTGAGCCCCATTTTTTCTCATTCCATTACATTAATTTTTTCTCTCTCTTCATCTCAATCACACATTCTCAAATAAAATAATATTACACACAAATCTAAAACTTTTTTTTTTTTTTTGTAAATATTTAAATTTATGCTCTTCAATTTTACTCTACCACACGGTTAGTATGAAATTCGTTTGTCACCATGTCATTTTTTTTTTCATTTATTTGCTAATTACGGTTGATAATAGTTTACATTTAAATGGAATTATTAAAAAAAAAACCTCTCTAAAAACCGATCCAGAAGATTCAACTACGGCTGGACATGGTTCGGTTCTCTTGAGACCCGAACCGAACCAAAATTTTCGAGTATTCAATAAATGGAACCGCCGGGTCCAAATATAATTATGGAATCATTCGGGTTCGGTTCAGTTCGATTCGATTCGGTTCCGTACCATAATTAAATTTTTTAACAGATTTCTAATAGTCGACGATTCGGTGATCGTGGTTGGAGGTCGCGGCTTCGATGGACATTGGAAAGGGGAAGTCTGACTCGGTAGTTGGCTATTTCGATTCGGGTATGTAAATGTAGATTTTCAATTTATCAAAT